TACGTTTCTCTTCTCTTCTCCTTTCATCTCTCGCTTTCTCTGTCTCTCTTCTCTTCTTCACTATGTCACACCAGGAAGAAAAGGATAGCTGGCTACTAGACTCTGTTACATGAAAGAATAGCACAAAAGACGACGCAGCGGGCGATGACGAGGTTAGCGCAAGCCGGCTCTTCTTCTTCTGCGTCTTTCGTCGTCGTCGTCTTCTGTTGCTCCTTTTCTCATATTTCTTTGCATGTTGCAGAGCATAAGATACGAGCAAGCAAGATTCATTCCTGATGTTTCAACTAGAATTGCAAGAGCAAAGCGTATGAACATAATTTACGTTCTCGGGGTATTTTTCAAAATTAGAAAATAGAAGAAAAATCACCAAGGAGGAAAGAATGAGCAAAAAAAGCAAAATAAAGCGGAAACAGTGTATGAAAAGAAAAAAAAAGAAAGTAAGAGAGAGCGAGTTAGCGTGAATCTACTAGTCATCCGGAAAAGTCTATCAAATAAATAATCTTAACAAAACATAACAATATCAACAAATGTTTGTTAATTAATGATGTTGTATGTCACATCGAATTATATATTTTATTGTATATAAACATTTACATAAAATAGGTTCTGCAGCTGTTCATATTTCAGTATTGTTCGCTCAGACAATTATATGGTAATATATACTTATTAACAATTATTGAATCTCTAAAGTAGCATTATATATGTTTCAAGTTTTTCTAATTACTAGAAAAATGACACCGGTAATAAGTGATAACATTTTCTTCCTATGACAAACCAATGAAATAGAATACTGTTATGATTATTACGATTATTTGTTGCTTATTGTAGCATCCCATGAGATATAATAAATTCATTCAATCGACTTAACGCATACATCATATACACATGTATTTACATGTCGTTTTATGCATGTAACAACTGAGTTGGATGCGTGCATCCGTCCATCACAGTTATAGTGTCATTTCCGCTTATCGACCATTAAATAGATAGAAACATTGACATGTAGACGTGTTTCTATTTGAACGGAAATCAATGAAACTTACTACAAAAGCATATATGACTATTGACTCTTCCGAATCTGACAAACCTAATCTAGATATATATATACTTGTTTCTTATTATCATGAAAAAATTTTCAAGAAAGCTAAATATGACTGCAGGTGAGAGAATCTTTTTTTTTTTCTTATCAGAATATATATACAAAATATAGTAAAGATTTGATTATGATTGCATTATGGATCTGACGAATCTATTTCTGATAAGATTATATCGCATGCATATCTATATAGTATGTTTATGAAAAAAAAATTCATTTGAAGACGATCTAATAAATCAAACTAGTGGAACAAATTTATTATTAGAAACATGTCTTATTTAGATTTCTTTTCTTTCTTATATATATATATATATATGTCTGAGCATGCTAGTTCAATCTGAAGAGTACACTATATGGTGAAAGTGTTTTAAGCACGTTTTTTCCAGTAGTTTATTATATAAAGGAAAGCTAATGGAGTAAAAAAAATAACCTCGCACGACTAATTTTACTTTTTATTTAGTAACTCAAAAAAAAACAAAAAAAATGTGGTTCATTATCAACTAATGATTCTTTTACTAACGAAAAAAAGATTGTCATCTAACTATCTTTTTATGTTTATAACAATTAATTGAATCTTGAATAAAAACAGTTGATATTAGTCAATTCTGTTACAAGATTATTAATAAAAGCCTATTGGGATTGCTTATAATAGAATTTTTATATTGATTTTCGAATTTTGATGAGATGTACTCAACGGGAAATTAATATATATTATCGGTCGAGACATTCGAAAAAAGGACAATTAGACATTGACAATATTAAACAAGTCAATTTCCAAGTCACTAAGTATAAACTATAGAAAAAAGAAATTTTTTCCTATAGGAAACATTTCAATAATGTCAAACGAAGTATGTATGAAGTACTAACAATTCTATTTTTAATGTAAAAGAATGAGTCTGTAATCGAAAAGAAATTTTCTTTTGAATATACATGAATAATATAAAATATTGACATACGTTTTGAGTTTTTTTGCTTTAATATTTGTTAAAAATTATGTTGATAAGATTCATCGACTGCACTGTTTTGTTTACCCAATGACCTCGAACTGTTGCTCTTCAGCTTTTTTTTAATAATATTTTATATTAGTCTAATAGCGTTTAGATTAGGATTAGAATTCTGTCAGACATAAAGTTCAATATTAATCATAAACTCAATATTTTACGTGACTTATGTTCAACTACTGAAAATAAAACAATCATCCATTATTCTTTCTTGTAATCTCTTACCTAAAAGCATTAATTTTATGTAAAAATAAGTGTAAGAGAAAAAGAAAGAACAATTTTTTGTTAAAACAAAAGACTACACTTAGAAAAGAACAAGATACTATAACAGTCATTGGATCTATAAAAATTGATATTTAATTCATTCCACCCATCCAACTAGGTAACGGCCCATTGGCTTGTGGAAATCCACCTGGAAAATTGAGACTAAGTCTTTTCATAGCTCTTCCTTGTGCACGAATAGCATAAAGTAGAGCCGCATATTGCATAAGTTTTTCTTCACCACGACTACATTGTATTGCACGTTCATATAAATTAGCTGCTTCTTCAAATTGATTTCTATTTAATTAAAATTTAAAAAACATGGAAAAGTTGAAGAGAAAATTTTTTACCGATTGCATTTAAATATCGCAAACATTGTTAGAACAGTTTCATTCGATGGATCAATTTCAAGAGCATGTGTAAATAATTTTTCAGCTTCAACATTATTTGATGGATCTGATGCCATTAAACAATTACTAAATTACATTTTAAATTAAATAGAGTATTAACAACAATAAACAAATTAACATACGCTTTAAGTGCTAATAATGTTGGATTATTTGGAATTTCTTTAACAAATTTTTTTAAATATTCAAGTGCTTTATCTTTTCGATCATTATCCAAATAACACTAGAAATACAAATAAGATTATTTTATTTTAAAATTTATTCATTTACTTACAGATGTTAATGCAAGTGCATAATAAATGTCATGTTTACATGAATCATAATATTCTTCAAAACTTCCTAATGATTGCTCAACTTTATCAGGTTTATTTTCTTTATTGCCTATTTTTGCATCATTGATTAATTTTTGATATTTAGCTCGAAGATTTATTGGTGAAATATTCAATGCTTCACTAAAGTCATCATGAGCTTCAGAATAACTTTCTAATAATGTTTTTAACTAAATATATATACATATATATAAAGAAAGAATATTGATCAAAAAAAAAAGAAAACAAACCATGCCACGATGAACACGTGGTCCACATGCATTTGGATGATTTTTTATACATTGATCATATTCATACATTGCTCCTTCGACATCACGTTGATGAATTTTTGTATTAGCTCGTTTTAATTCTGCATTGATTTTCATCTAAATATTTTTGTTTAAAAATAAATATCATTTAAATATATATATATACAAACATTCTCTGTAGCATTTGAATCATTAATAACAGCATCAAAATCAGCTGATGCTTCTTTATAATTACCCATAAGTAAATAAAATGAACCACGAAGTAATAAAGCTTGTAATTTATAGGGTGAACTTATGGATAATTCAATTTCTTGTGTACATAATGATGGTATATCTGTAAAACGAGATTCATCATATGCTTGATATGCACGTGCTAATGGACTATCTGGCTGAGTTGTACGAATTTCATTAATAATAGTTGAATTGAATATTGGATCATCTTCGAATTCATTTAATGATGTACGAACATAATCTTTTGATAATTCAGCAGTACTCTTCAAGAAAAAGACACATAAATAAAACCAAACAAAGAGAATTTATCTTACTGGTGGCATTGTTTCAATATAATGTTTAGCAAGATTAGTAAGAACTTTATCAGCAGCCATAATATATGCTGGTTGATATGAATCAAGAAAACATACTGTTGAATAATCTTTAAAAGACAAAATTTAGTTTTTTTCTTTTTTAAGAAATTCAATAATATATACCTTCGAGAGCTAATTCAAAATTCTCAATATTTTCAGCAGCACGAGCACGTCTTTGAATACATTTGATATATTTTGGATTAAGTTCAATAGCTTGGGAACAATCTTCAATAACTTTACTATAATTTTTCTATTTTCAATAAAAAAAATAGTATTAAAAGATAGAAATAGAATTTAATTCATACTAATGATTCCCAAGCTGCTGCTCGATTTTGATAAAATTGTGAGAGTTCTTCCTTTGATTCAGATGGACAAGCATCAATTGCTTCTAAACAATAAAAAATTAATATAATATCAATTTGAATATATAAATTTTATTCTTACTAGTATAAGCGACAATAGCTTCATTGAATTTATTTTCTCGATATTTTATATTTCCTTCATTTTTTAATTCAATTGCTAGAGTTAAACGATTCTAAATACGTATATGATGAAAATATTAATTTAATAAAAATAAACTAATCTAATTGTTACTTTTGTTCGATTATCAGATGTTGAAAGTGCATCTCCACCCGCTTTTGTTGATGGAATTGTTGTTCCTGTTATACTTGTCAATGGTGTAGGTAGAGGTGAACGTCTAGTAGCTGATTTTTTAGCTTGATCTTGTTGTTGACGATAAACTAAATAAGCAGCTACACAAACTGCTGTCGGTACACCAATAACAAGTGCCCATTTAGCTAAACGTTTGCCTATATCATTTGCTGGATTAGTTGAATCGACACCTGGTGTTGAAC